CGTAATGAGAAAAAAAAAACTTTGACAGTGTTTTTGGTTTAAAACAGCGACTTTGCACTGTATTTTCGTATGGTATTTATGGTTGTATTCTAGTTTTTCAGGTCTTATTTTATAGAATGGAAGACATATTACAGAAATTGAGATGATATTGATTGGTTTCACAATGAAAAGTACCTTGAAATTGAGCTCAAAGTATCAGAAATGTTCAATTTTTGCCAAAGTTCAAAAGTAAACAATCATGCCACGCATCCAATACACGTCAACTGGTGAATCTAATATTCTTTCACAAGTGCGCTGGTATTATTTATACCATTTCTACACTAATACAGTAGTCTGCATAACAGTAAATCTTCTATTTTTTGTGAGAATAAAAATTCAAAGTGGAAAGCAAATGAAATGTAAGAGGGGCATGGGGATGTGATTAATGAACAGAGGAAATGTTATTTTAGTGCCAGGAATGTCTTTCTTGTTTATTCTGGACCCTATTTGGGAATTGGCATCTTTTGAAATTTGTGTGAAATTAGCAAAATTACTAAATTCTTACCACTTTATTGGATAGTTGAAATCGGTAAATGGGTGGTTTCTTGTACTCATTCGATAGAAAAAAACGTTGTTCTAGTGAAATAGTTATGATTTTTGTTGACTAGTACACTGGAATTGGCCGAAAATAGGGCTCAAAGTGGGCAAAATCGCCGATGCGTAAACATCGTCGAGACCGCTAACTTCGTGAGAGCATAATTCCATAAGTTTTCCATCAAATTTCATACTTTTGGTGTCATTATGATCAGGAAAAGATTCTCTATCTTTTCATGAGATTTTTTTCTTTTTTTTTTTTAAATTTGGCCGACCCTGAGAACAAGTCTCTGAGAGGGCCTGGCGACCCTCAAAGGGTTAATAGGCACAGGCTATATTAGGAATTGGGTGTTTACAGTTCTTTGGGTGGGTGTAGGTGGAAATTATGGGGGAATCACAGATAATGATAAGTCTGTATTTTTTTGGATGTGTTCATGATAGAAAAGAGAGAATTGGGTAGTTTACATTTGGTTAGCTGATGATGGGGTGTGTCATGGAGATGAGATTTTTTAAATGGTAGTTTTGAAAATGGTGGTTGAGTCTGTGGTTCTAGAGTTTTCAGGCAAGGAGTACCAGATTCTAGGCCCTTTTATGTGCATTGAATTTTTGTATGGGTTTAGCCGGACACGGGGAATGTCATAGAGGTTTTTGTGTCTGGTGTCGTGTCTATGGGTCCTGTTGCAACTATCAAGAAATTGTTTTAGTTCCGGGTTAAAATTAGAGTTTATGGTTCTGTAAATGTAGATTGCACAATAGTAGGTGTGAATGTTCTGGACGGTGAGTAGGTTTAGGTCTTTGAAGAGTGGGGGTGTGTGCTGTCTTGCATTGGATTGCGTGATAATTCTCACTGCGGCTTTCTGTTGGGTTATTATTGGCTTTAGGTGAATTGCTGCTGTTGATCCCCATGCACAAATAGGATAGGTGAGGTAGGGATAGATGAGTGAATATTATAGTGTGTAAAGTAAAAGGACACAAGTGCAACTAATGTGACATTTTATTGTGGCAATGTTTTGCTCTCCAGGAGCTTTGTCAAGCCATTACAGCTTGACAAAGCTCCTGGAGAGTGAAACATTGCCAAAGTAAAATGTCACATTAGTTGCATTTGTGTCCTATTACTTTACATATTGTCGGTAATTCTACCAAAATATATAAGAACCGTATAGTGTGAACAGGGCTGATTGTGGTACGTAGTAACGTATCTTGGAGAGGATCCCAACTGTTTTGGATACTTCTTTTGTTATTTGTTGGATATGAGTGTTGAATTTCAGGTTGCTGTCAAGGTGCAGGCCCAGGAATTTGCCCTTGTTATGTCTAGCAATAGGAGTGTTGTCAATCGTTACGTTCAGCTGAGCAGCACCCGTTCTCTTCCCAAACAGAATGTAGAAGGTTTCGTCAGTATTAAGTGTAAGTTTATTAGCAGTCATCCAGGTCAATATTTGTACCAGTTCTTTGTTAACAATAGCGCTAAGTAAGGCAGGATTAGGGTGGGACATGACATTTGTTCTATCATCAGCAAAGAGAATATGCTTAAGGTGTTGTGAAACAGTAGGTAGATCATTGATGTATAAGAGGAAGAGCAAGGGACCAAGGACACTTCCTTGTGGTACTCCAGTATCCAGTGGTCTTATTGATGAGGCTGTGTCCTTAATAGAGATGTATTGCTGCCTGTTAAGTAGGATTTAAAATATGTAAGTGCGTGACCTCTTACACCACAACGCTCAAGTTTGTGGAGTAGGATGCTGTGGTCTGCTGTATCAAATGCTTTCCATAGGTCGATAAAGAGTCCTAATGGAAATTCATTCTTTTCAAGTGCAGTGTAAAGCAGGTCTAGTATTTTTACAATTGCATCATTTGTGCTTATGCTTTTTCTGAAGCCAAATTGGCAGGGGTTGAGGATGCTTTGCACTGTTATAAAGGAATATAATATCTTGTGTCTAAGTTTCTCGAAGATTTTGGATAGCAATGGTAAGTTTGAAATTGGCCTGTAGTTGTTTACATCTGTGGGGTCATAACTGTGGGGTATAACTACTTAGTAAATTAATTAAGAGAAGAGAAACAATATCTAGAGTAAAAAAAATTTGATTAAATGACTTGTAATACAGTATAAAGACTGGGTATGAAATTTAACACCTGATATTTCACAAATTTCTAACAATGAAACTGCTAACAAGAGACATTGGAGTTTTGAACAGTATAATGTATACAGTACTATACTAAACAATACATGTACAGCCACTTATTAAATTTACATAATTATGGTTAACTGATATGATGAAAGTAAAACTTCTATAAAGGCAAATTTAATAGTGGGTTAAAAAATACAGTGCACAGTTTAACCCGTAAATAGTCCAAACGTATATATACGTTTTTACCGCTAGTACCCCAAACGTATACATGTATACATATACGTTTTATTTGTCATACATTCAACATTGCCACGATAAGCCTGTGTTGCCTAGACATGAGAGAATGGGTGTGCATACTCACTGTGCGCCATATTAAAATAATTGGGGATGCCTGAGTACCATATGCTCTGTTTTCCTATAAAAAAAAAACTTTTTTTTTTCTCAAAGAATTTGGGGTACTACGCGAGAGAACATATATATACTTTTGGACCGTTTACGGGTTAAAAGGTAGGTCAAAAGGAACTGGGATTTTTACAAAAATCTGTGAGATAATGTGTGTCCTTGGTAGGCCATCACACCAAGCCAGTAGGAGCCTATCACATATACACTAATCAGCTATATACCAAATTTCAGAGCATTTGGATAAGTATATTTTGTGAAAAGTATATATTAAGGCTTAAAAGCATTTCACTAGCATCGAAACTGGTGTCAATGGTGCTAATGTTATCTTAGTTTCAGAGAGATTGATGTGAACTTCATATTCTCATAGCAGACTTGATAAAAACATTAATCACAGCCCTTGTATCATCCTTTGTGGATAATGCCAAAATAAGCCCCCAACTTGCAGAACAAGTGGGATCTGAACCCTGGCAAGCCAAACCTGAGACTAGTAGGTCAGTGTATTTACCATTGTACCATGCTGGCCTAAATAGATTCATCTAACTAGATGTATTTCTGTACACTAAGAAGGTTAACATGGGCCCCACTGTGAACACACTACACAGTCTTAGTGATGAATTTCACACCAGTGTGACTGTGGTAAGTTCTAACTTCAGTTTATTCAGAGCAGTTATCAATGACTTACAATATCATAAAAGAAATTTTTTTGAAGGTAAGAGAGCTAGAGCTTACCACATCCATGTTGGTGTTAAATTTGTCTAAAACCCTGCATTGGGGTCAGAGTTTGGCTCATACTAGGGTACCAAGATATATTTAGTTAGATGAATCTTATTAGGCTGGCATGGTAGAGTGGTTAGCTCATTGGCCTGCTAATTTTAGGACTGGCTTGCCATGGGTATTGATCCTACCCTTTCTGTGAGTTGTTAACAATAGTGCTGTTAGAATTTTGTGAGTCATGAACATCAAAGGTCACCAGTAGAAGACAGAAAATTTACAAAAAGGAAGTAGCAGTCTTCAGTGGGCAAAGGAAAATAGCATGATGGGGACAAATTCCAGAAGCTTAGATATGGAAAGCATAAAGAACAGAAAATATGCACAGTATTCCAAACACAGGCAGATCATCTCATAGAATGAATGAAACATTTGTTAGTACTGTAGTATACTCATCAGGAACACTGTCCTCACACTTACCTTTGATGTGTGATCATTTGTTTTTGGGGTCAGTATAAATGGTTATGCATGCAGTGATGAGGATTTTTCTTCATTGACTTTAGCAAACCTGTATTTGTAAATACTGTTTATGATTTTGCTCAGTACTAGCAATAAGTCTAATTGCAGAGTTCATATGTATTATTAATTCTTCAAGGTTAAGGTTTTGTATATGAAAATACTTGTATTTGGTGAAGTGTTCTCTCAGAGTAGCCCCAAAAAAATTAAGGCCCCCAACCCTGTGATGCTTTGTCCTATATAGTCTGGATAATCAAGCACCTGCTTCAGTTCTGACTCGTGCAGTATTATTTGTAAGTGGCACTTAGTAACAGTTTTATCCCCTTTCTCTTTGCTTTAGAAAGTAATGAACTGTGCTTTTATTCATTTTTTTAATCATTCACATGCATAAGAGTTATTACAAGCAAGTGCAGCAGTTATAAAAGCAATGTTCTTATTTGATATATGGTACAATACAAGAAAATTTGGTAGACATTCTTCATGACTAGTGCTTCTTTTTTGTTTAATTTTAGTGTTTTAGTGAAATCATACCACCCTCTTCCTGATACCTTGTTTTTCCATTTGAAAAACATTTACAAAATACTGTTCTTATTTTTTCCTTAACTATTTCTTATTGTAAATTTGAATGTCGTCTTCACTGTAAAAAAAATTATAGTCATTTCTCGTGATTTACAGATTGTGTCTGCTGTACAATACTGCCACCAAAAGAAGATTATACACAGAGATTTAAAAGCAGAAAATTTACTCTTAGACTCTGAAATGGTGATCAAAATAGCAGATTTTGGTTTTAGTAATGAGTTTACTCCAGGGAATAAATTGGACACATTCTGTGGTAGTCCACCATATGCAGCTCCTGAGCTGTTTCAAGGTTGGTCATCAAGGATTAATTTAAAAAAATAAATATTTGTATTACAGTATCTTGTTTATTTTAATTGCAGCTCTACAGACTATTGGTTATCGCTTAAATCTTTAGTGTGTAAGTAGACATAATATGGCTTAAATGTATTTTTTTGAGAAACTTGTTAACTTTTTTTTTCTGTCACACTTAGTGCTTCTCTGGAATTAGAAACAGCAGGGATAAAAGGGAAATGTGAAGGTGCATCATGATCACAGTAATTGCAGGAACAAGTGAATACCATTTTATATATATATATATATATATATATATATATATATATATATATAATATATATATATATATATATATATATATATATATATATATATTATATATATATATATATATATATACACATATACATACATACTACATACATACATACATACATACATACAGTGGACCCCGGTTAACGAACTTTTTTCATTCCAGTAGTATGTTCAGGTGCCAGTACTGACCGAATTTTTTCCCATAAGGAATATTGTGAAGTAGATTAGTCCATTTCAGACCCTCAAACATACACGTACAAACGCACTTACATAAATACACTTACATAATTGGTCGCATTTGGAGGTGATCGTTAAGCGGGGGTCCACTGTATATATATATATATATATATATATTTATTTATTTATTTATTTATTTATTTATTTATTTATTCTTTCAACACACCAGCCGTATCCCACCGAGGCGGGGTGGCCCAAAAGGAAAAATGAAAGTTTCTCCATTTACATATAGTAATATATACAGGAGAAGAGGTTACTAGCCCCTTGCTCCCGGCATTTTAGTTGCCTCTTACAACATGCATGGCTTACGGAGGAAGAATTCTGTTCCACTTCCCCATGGAGATAAGAGGAAATAAACAAGAATAAGAACTAGAAAGAAAATAGAAGAAAACCCAGAGGGGTGTGTATATATATGCTTGTACATGTATGTGTAATGTGACCTAAGTGTAAGTAGAAGTAGCAAGACGTACCTGAAATCTTGCATGTTCATGAGACAGAAAAAAGGACACCAGCAATCCTACCATCATGTAAAACAATTACAGGCTTTCGTTTTTCACATTTAGTAATATATACAGGAGAAGGGGTTACTAGCCCCTTGCTCCCAGCAATTTAGTTGCCTTTTAGGACATGCATGGCTTACGGAGGAAGAATTCTGTTCCACTTCCCCATGGAGATAAGAGGAAATAAACAAGAACTAGAAACAAAATAGAAGAAGACCCAGAGGGTTATGTATGTGTATATATATATGCTTGTACGTGTATGTGTAGTGTGACCTAAGTGTAAGTAGAAGTAGCAAGACGTACCTGAAACCTTGCATGTTTGTGAGACCTCTACCCACTCTACCTGAGGTATCCCAGCGAGTGAGCACGTCTCCTGTGTATCCCAGTGCTTTAACAGAATAGGGAATAGCGTATGGAGGTACAAAATAAAAAAAATGGGAACTATGGCTATAGTTTACTTAATAACATAAAAGGGGCTAGAATACCACATATACTGATGGACATTTACATAATATAACAATTGACCTATGAGACTTATTACCAGGGGGAAAGGTAGATGTTATCAGTAACACGGACTAGTACTCACTTTTAATTCACCGACCAGCTGACCCGAGATTCCCAATGCATGGTCCACTACACACGCGGCTGTCCAGAGCTCTCGCTCCCCGGACCTGTCACCAACAACCTCCTTGCTCAGCTGTTCCCTGGGCTTATATGGTAGTCAAAGTACCCCCTCCCCAATGGGGTATGTACCATGTGTTACGACCTGATGCTGAGGTCTGACGCCGTCAAGAACAAAAAGACCTCAGACGTGATCGTGACTACCCGACATTTGCTAAGGCAGGTATGACCATATAATTAGGTCTCCCTAGAGACCTCACAATCCCATCTGAACTGCATCACATGTTCATGAGACAGAAAAATGGACACGAGCAATCCTACCATCATGTAAAACAATTACGTACAGGCTTTCGTTTTACACTCACTTGCCAGGACTAAAATGTTATTTTAGTGCCAGGAATGTCTGCATTGTTTATTCTGGACCCTATTTTGAAATTGGCATCTGTTGAAATTTGTGTGAAATTGGCCAAACTGCCAATTTCTGACCACTTTATTGGGTAGTTGAAATAAGTGAATGGGCGGTTTCTTGTACTCAGTTGACAGACTAGAAGTAAATAAGTTTATTCAGGTATACACAAATACAGTTATATAGATTATCATACATAGCAGTATATGTATAGAGAACCTAGGATAACCAAGAAAAGTCAGACACAGTGACTTATTTTCAGTACCTGGCTTGGGCTTGCCATATATAATTTTTGGTAAATGTTTTTTTTTTCTCGGTTGTTTATTGGGCTATCTCATTGAAACTTCGGCAATGTATAATGGAAAGATGCTTCTTAATGTACAACAAAAATAAAAAAGACTGATGATAAATAAGGGAGTTCACTTCTCAGCCATTAATTGCCTCTTTGCAGTATATTTTCGTATGGTTTTTATGGTTGTATTCTCATTTTTTGGACTCGTTTGATAGAATGGAAGATATATTACAGAAATAGACATGATTTTGATTGCTTTCATGATGAAAAGTACCTTGAAATTGAGCTCAAAGTACTGGAAATGTTCGATTTTTGCGTCAGTCAAGTTGGTTAATTTTATTAAGCGTATTCTAACCTAACTACTCTGTAATCCGGCAAACTCAGTAATCCGGCACACTACAGGTCCCAATGATGCCGGATTTGTGATGGAGGACCTGTATATGGATAAAAGGTTGATAGGTAGGCTCCAGATGTACATGTTTATAGAGGGGCAACTGATATATCGGATCATTATTTAGTTGTAGATACAGTTAGAGTAAGAGGTAGATGGGAAAAGAGGAAAATGGCAACAAGAAGTAAGAGGGAGGTGAAAGTGTATAAACTAAGCCAGGAGGAAGTTCAGGTGAGATATAGGTAACTATTGGCAGGATGGTGGGCTGGTGCAAGTATGAGTAGTGTGTGTGGGAGGGGGGTGAAGAGGGTTGGAATAGTTTTAAAAATGCAGTATTAGAATGTGGGGCAGAAGTTTGTGGTTATAGGAGGGTGGGTGCAGGAGGAAAGAGGAGTGATTGGTAGAATGATGAAGTAAAGGTTGCGATAAAAGAGAAAAAGTTAGCTTATGAGAGGTTTTTACAAAGCAAAAGTGTTATAAGAAGAGCAGAGTATATGGAGAGTAAAAGAAAGGTGAAGAGAGTGGTGAGAGAGTACAAAAGGAGAGCAGATGATAGAGTGGGAGAGGCAATGTCAAGAAATTTTAATGAAAATAAGAAAAAATTTTGGAGTGAGTTAAACAAGTTAAGAAAGCCTAGAGAACGAATGGATTTGTCAGTTAAAAACAGAGTAGGGGAGGTAGTAGATGGGGAGATGGAGGTTTTGGGTAGATGGCGAGAATATTTTGAGGAACTTTTAAATGTCGAAGAAGTATGGGAAGCGGTAATTTCATGCACTGGCCTGGGAGGTATACCATCTTTTAGAAGTGAAGAAGAACAGGATGTGAGGGAGGTGTGTGAGGCATTACGTAGAATGAAAAGGGGTAAAAAAGCTGGGGGGATATAGTGTTGGAGTGGTTGGTATTTTTGTTTAATAAATGTATGAAAGAGGGGAAAGTACCTAGGTATTGGCGGAGAGCATGTATAGTCCCTTTATATAAAGGGAAGAGGGACAAAAGAGATTGTAAAAATTATAGAGGAATAAGTTTACTGATTATACCAGGAAAGGTGTACGGTAGGGTTGTAATTGAAAGAATTAGAGGAAAGACAGAATGTAGGATTGCGGATGAACAAGGAGGTTTCAGAGTGGGTAGGGGATGTGTAGATCAAGTGTTTCCATTGAAGCATATATGTGAACAGTATTTAGATAAAGGTAGGGAAGTTTTTATTGCATTTATGGACTTAGAAAAGGCATATGATAGAGTGGATGGGGGAGCAATGTGGCAGATGTTGCAAGTATATGGAATAGGTGGTAAGTTACTAAATGCTGTAAAGAGTTTTTATGAGGATAGTGAGGCTCAGGTTAGGGTGTGTAGGTAAAAGTAGGTCTTACACAGGGATGTGTAATGTCACCATGGTTGTTTAATATATTTATAGATGGGTTTGTAAAAGAAGTAAATGCTGGGGTGTTCGGGAAAGGGGTGGGATGAAATTATGGCGAATCAAATACAAAATGGAAATTGACACAGTTGCTTTTTGCTGATGATACTGTGCTTATGGGAGATTCTGAAGAAAAATTGCAAAGGTTAGTGGATGAGTTTGAGAGTGTATGTAAAGGTAGAAAGTTGAAAGTGAACATAGAAAAGAGTAAGGTGATGAGGGTATCAAATGATTTAGATAAACAAAAATTGGATATCAAAGTGGAGAGGAGGAGTATGGAACAGGTGAATGTTTTCAGATACTTGGGAGTTGACGTGTCAGCGGATGGATTTACGAAGGATGAGGTTAATCATAGAATTGATGAGGGAAAAAAGGTGAGTGGTGCGTTGAGGTATATGTGGAGTCAAAAAACATTATCTATGGAGGCAAAGAAGGGAATGTATGTAAGTATAGTAGTACCAACACTCTTATATGGATGTGAAGCTTGGGTGGTAAATGCAGCAGCGAAGAGACGGTTGGAGGCAGTGGAGATGTCCTGTCTAAGGGCAATGTGTGGTGTAAATATTATGCAGAAAATTCGGAGTGTGGAAATTAGGAGAAGGTGTGGAGTTAATAAAAGTATTAGTCAGAGAGCTGAAGATGGGTTGTTGAGGTGGTTTGGTCATATAGAGAGAATGGATCCAAGTAGAATGACATGGAGGGCATATAAATCTGTAGGGGAAGGAAGGCGGGGTAAGGGTCGTCCTCGAAAAGTTTGGAAGGAAGTGGGGGGGGGGGAGGACTTCCAGCGAGGAGGCCTGGTCACAGACCGGGCCGCGGGGGCGTTGACCCCCGGAA